TTGGGCCGTTGGGTATTGGAGTGGAATGACCCGGTGCTCCCGAAAGTAGGGTATTGGAACGTGGGCGCCACAGACGATGGGGCTGCGAAAGTGGCGATCCGGAGTGCGACCATCCTGATCCGTAGAGATGCGGAACATGTTCCGCTGTTTTCCATAACATGCCGATGTCAATGACCGGTACTTTGTGTAAGACCCAATGGTCCAGGGTCCCCTCATTCACCCTTTGCAGGGCATGGCAAAGATCCCGGCTGAGCAATTGCGATGGGTAGCTGATCAAGGCAAGGCATTCAGCAGCGTGCAGCAGTGTTGGGAAGATTTTCCAAACGCTGGGTGCGTGTCAAGGAAAACCCCAACAACGGTAGTTTGCAAATGAATGCTTGATGATCCCAGTGAATTAATGCATCAGCGTCTTGCATGGAAGATTCGTTTTTCAATTTTGGGATGCCCGTCATGGCTTGACTCCATGTTGAGAAGCGAATTGACATGAATTGACTTGTCCTGTGTGGTTCAGTCAGTCAAATTTAAATGGAGTTGGCAAAGTGTGCTTCCATGATCTACTGGGCACAGTGAATCAACAAGCGTCTGAACCGATGGTGCCTGCTGCCTAATGATTCCTTTGGTTTTTGCATGCGTTGTGAACACCTATATCCTACTCAGGTATTATGTACATGGTATTACCAAGTTTTTTGCAAATGTTTTCCACCAGGCTTGGACACGGCTCATGGTTTTGACACCATGTGCTCATCTTGCATGACACCGCTGTTCGCCGGCCAGCTTGAGGCCAGCGTTGCTTGGAGGCCAGTGCTGCGAAGATTGAAGTGGTTGTGCTGTGTGGGAGGGACTTGGGAAAGAAATGGACGAAAAGAAGCCTGAGATTTGTGGGAAGACCTCACAAGACCATCCATGAAGCATGTGATTCATAGATTCATTCCAGGCTTCGACGGAGATACTGTAATCTCAAGTTTTTTCTTTTCTGCCGGCGCCTCAGGTGCTTGTCCAAAGACCCGACTTCACTCCTTGCTTTCCGGTGCCTCGGACGCACTCATCGAACAGAAAACCGCACAAACGTCTAGCCTCTCTCAGGATGTTGCTTGTTTCTTTTTTACATGTATTTTTTTGATAGAGAGAACTCACTGACGGGGTGCATTGCACGGAAGAGAGGCCCAATGACCAGGCCCGATGATAGGTGCAGCGACCTTTTGATTCCTTTGCAGCACCCTCTTCTATGATGTAGGCATGTTTCAACAAGGGCAGACTCCCCCTCACCCAATATTTCTGATAGACATTGGAAACGCCGTCCCCTGAATTTTACCTTCACCTTGTTTGTATGAAGGACAGTATAAGATTGTAGAAGGGTTCTCCCTTTTCTTGATTCCTTCAATTCAGGGATCACTTGAACATATCCTTGAGAGTCCTCCTCAATTTGTTACCGCCATGGCTACACAAGGATGTCCCTCAAACTTGATCTTTGTCGTTTGGTCATCCTTATTCGAGTTAGGCCATTGAGGGAGCTTCACACCTGATTTGCACCCACACCAAGAATGGTGCACAAGTTCCATCAGAGGATTTTCACTCGAATCCATCTATTTGCGATCACTTTCTGGTTGTGCCAGTGTAAACTAGAGCGACTGGAGTGACTGGAGATCCCCTCAATGTGACTTCTGGTTGGACATGGCCCCAGAATCCTCTCCTGTCCCGACGGAGGCGACCATCAGGGTGCCCAAGGAGGACTGGCTCCGGCTTTGCCACCTGGTGGCACGCTTGGACAGGGGGGTAGGAAATGGTACGTTGACATATAGGCATCCCTGGAGTAGATAGAATATGATGGGGACTCCGAAAAAAGAATAAACAGCACGCATGCAACCTGGAACCTGGTTTTCGGATTGGTTCGTATGATCCAGAAGGGTTGTACATCACGCAACTGGTGAGTAAACCTCGGTTGTGGTTAAAACGTTTTGTTTTTCGCCTTTACTTGGGATGCTTGAACCGACCAAAATAATGTGTTCAAGTGAGTTGAAATCACCAACCAGAAACCTGTTTCAGTCCAGAGCTCCAAAGTTCATTTACTGTAAGTTCTTTTTTACTAAGTCACAAGCTGCAGGCATTACCAAGTCATTTTCACTTTTTTGGTAGCATTCTTCCACGCACCTATCGACCATGGTCGACTGGGGGATCCTATCATGAGGCTTGTGAGTCCCTACGGTTGTAGACACAAGTCTTGGGACAGATGGCTGCGCAGCTAAGATTCAGTAAAAACCTGCGCCGACAGAGCGCAACCTGATCGTGCCTAGCGAACCAAGGGTTCATGAGCTGCAGAACCGTCCCCGTCAACAGCGTCCCCCCAAACAGGTTAAGCTCATACTGAGAAAGTGAGCTTGTTGCGGAGCAAAGTTACACACATGCAGCAAACATGCGAGGGAAACTAAGCATCGCCGTCAAAAGTGACGGGGAGTTTCAAACATTTGTTTGTGCTAATGGGACCTTATTTGGGATACTCGCTACTGGTGACCCTCAGTCTTTCGAAAAGAACCTGCTCACCTTGACTGCCTTGGCTGAATTACTTGCGATGGCTGGGTTCTTACACAGACGGTTCAAGCAAGCCGTGTTGACCACAGAAAAGCTCTGATGCTTCTGAGAAAACCGATGCTTCTGATTGTTGACTCTCCGATGCTTCTTTTCAAAACTCCGAGAAAGACGTTTCGGCCATCACGTCCAGACGTCTTTAGACTCGCCACCGTCGGTGGCCATCCGAGTCGGCACCGCAATGGCGGGCACCTTTTTCGGACTCGGACTGCCAACGGCACCGTGCCATTGGCACTCGGCGCTGCGACAGGGCTGTTGTCTGAAACCCGTTGTTGTTCCGTTCCAAACACCTGAGTCTAGTGGTGGTATTCCATTGTTCTAAAGCAGTCCTGGATTGGATTATACTGGAATGTTTGAGGTTAATCACGCCCTGAAAGGGTAACGTACAGAACTCTTAAGATGTAACTTTGAAGAAACTGAAGTTCTAATGTCTTGCTTTCCTCCGACTTAAGTCAGATTGCTGTTAACCATAGAGTGCATGATCCCGCGGCATGGATGCATTGCAACATGGCCATGAGTCAAAACGTTTTGGTATGGAACATGTACTCTTGAACATCTCGTTCCATACCCGGAATTCCATACCTCTGGAACAGCATGTTTGTTCGCCGTTCCATACCCATCGTTCCATACCTATGGATTCCTAGTTTACAATTGTTCGAGGTTCAATCAACACGTGCGCTTTGCTTGCTGAAATACATTTACCGTGAGAAACTTGACTGAGATGACACGTCAGGTTTTTTGGTACAATTTGTTCCATACCCCCGTTCCATACCTGTTCCATACCTTATGGAACAAGGGATCCGTTCCATACCCTATGGAACAGGAAGGTGCGCGATGTTCACCTGAGACCCGGGGTTTTGACGCACACCCACATTACTATGCCTCGAGGCTCTTAACTGAAGCTTATCAACACCTATATATATATATATGCTCCTCAATTTCTGCATCCGCAGATATCCACTGGTTGACCTCGTAAGGCTTGCTTGTTGGAACCGCGGCGGACAGTGAGCCACTTATGGAAACATCCCTGCGCAAAGAAAGAAGGGGCTGTGTACTTCCTCACTCAGTAGGAATGGCAAACCATATACCAGGCCTTTTTAGATCTCACGTGCTGTGAGGCTGGTGCGAAGACTCCGCCGTGGAGGTTTCAGTGCACAGCTCAGCAGCACATTTGCGAGTGACCATAGCACTTTAAAATACTTTAGACTTTTTTTTCCCTTTGTGAACCTGCAGGGGCTCTATCGCTGAGTCTTCAAAAGAATGAGTGAAATCCGTGGGTTCGCTCGTTTTGGCAACAAGGCGTGCGTGAAAACCTCTTCGAGCCCTTCTTTAAGCGCAAAAACTGACATGGGGGGTTGTTTGAGACCTACCGTGAAAATGGTTAATACGGTGCCACCTTTCACTTGCAAGCTGTATTTTGTTCATTTGGATGTGGACCCCCACAGCCATGAGGATATCGTGATACTCTCACTTGGAGTATCTCCACTTGCAACGAAACACCGGTCTCCCAGCTCGTCCCCCAGCTCGGCTTTGTTAAAACCGAAGCCTTTCCAACAGGGATGTAGAAGAAAGAGGAAGATGCTCCACCAAACTCTACTGGGGTTGGACAGTGGGTTGGACATAGATGCTGTTACATGATAGTATCGAAACATACCAGCACCCAAATGCTGGTTATTGGATGGTCAAGTACATGGGTCGGGTGTCTATAAACCACCCAAACTGGGTGCTGGAAACAAAAACTCCCTCGACTCTCGATGTATCGAACGGACTCCGTTCTTCACATCGATGCTCTCGGGGTCTCCGAAATGTGACGGACGGAAGTTCGGGTCCCTCGTCGCGAAGGACGTTCACACACCCGGACTGGCCGAGGGTCCATCGTTGCAGTTTCCGCCCAGGAAAGGGGGATGGAGTTTGATCTTGAGGCGCGAGAGAGAGGGCCATTCAAGCAAAAACAGCGACAAGAAAGGAGTTGTATTGGCTTGATGTATCCCACAGAAGGAGAGGCAATGCGAGTCAAGGAGATGTGCGAGGTCAGAGAACTTTATCCACAAACTTCTCCCCATGCTACTCCAGAGCAACGACAGACAGTTCCACAGCAGAGTTTTGGTTGGTCCAGGGCTGCTAAGGTCTGATTGCCAGGTTTTTTCGTCCAAATCCCCTTGCCTGGGTTTCCCGTTTCCCATCCCAATGAGCCCCTCCAGTTGCATGATTCCACCCCAAAAAGGTCGACAGCGTTGCAGAAGACAGCTAGGGTCAGTAGACCACGTTCATGGCCATGATCAGGGTCCCAAAAGAAACGGCTTTCGCATTTCGGACGCTTTCGCATGTTTGGAGCGCTTTTCTCACCCACGTGGTCCGACCGAATCCAGCATCGAAATGGAGGTCCTTGCGATGCTGCAGCTCAATTTCCGTGACAGGCACGCCGGCCCGCGGTTCCAGCCCGCGGGCGGACGTTTGCGCGGTGGGAGCTTTTGGTTCGGAGGATTGGAATCACAAGATTGGAACATGTATGATGTTCGTCATGTTCATGATCTTCGTGACTTGCAAAACACGCCTTAGACTCGTTTTCTTCGTGAAGGAGCAAGATTCTCCTTCACAGGTCTCCTAGAGTACTTTCTAGGTCACACGGTTCTTTCGTGCTCCAGGTGCTCGGGCGCACTCGACCGGGTTTCCGGGTGCCCGGGTCGGGTTTCCTCGGCCCAGGCGCCAACTAGCACTTCGGCCACCCTTGGCCATGTGGGGTTGCCCTTTCGGACGTGGGCGGCCGAAGGATGTGGGACGGCTGGGCCTGGAGGCACTGCGGGACCTGGAGGGGGTTGGAGGGCTTGGGGAGAAGCTCTTCAGGTGGAAGAAGGGGCAGGTGAAGTGACGATGAGTTCCGGGTGCGAAGGTTTGTGTGTTTTGGAACGGAGACATGCGAAGCTGCACGGGTTTGAAGAGTGTACCGATTTGACAACAAATCCAATCCATGATCAGTTTATCAAGGGTTCAAGTTCCAGCCATGTTTCTTCGCTGCCAACCATTTTGCAGACCTGGGATGGATTGTGCGGGATATGAATGGATATGTTTGTTTGATGAAGCCAATACGCTTGCTCATTTGGTTCATACCTGACCGGGGGGGGTTGCACATGGGTTTGCCTGTGCTGGGCCGGGTCCCGACGTCTGCGCGTCTCGCCTGATGGGCGAGGCCCTCGCGGCGGCCAAGGTGTCAATGCCTCTTCTTCCACGACCTTCGTGTGGTGGGCGAGGCCCCTGCCGCCCTGGGTTTGTCCCTTCATCGAGATTTTACGGCGTCCCCAGTTGTTCCAATTGAAGGGATTGACCCCAGCTGTGCCGAAGAGATCCTTTGACCTCGGGTATGGTGAATTACTATACCATGTTCCATGTCGGGATACCAATAAGTCGGGGTGCCCCTTCCATCCACTCGCGACGGTCATGGGACGTTCCAAGGCCAAAAAGACCCAGACCCGACATGGAACTGCTGGTCGGGGTCATGCAGATGAGTGACCCAGACCTGAGAAAGTGTTCTCGTGCGGCGTAGCTTCTTGCTCCTATAGTAGCGATGCCCATTGTTCCTAGTAGCTTCTTGTTACTAGTAGTAACTTCTTGCTCCGTTCGTAGCGAAGCATCGCCTCCTGCAGGTGGCTGAGACGAAGATCATGGACATCATCTACCAGGCGATATGCTGCGATATGTAGATATGTGTAGAGTCTAGAGGGAAAGGGGCACGAGGGACAGGGATGGGACACTGCTGGAACAGTTTGGGCTTAATGTAGACTGTTGATGAATAAATCACTTCATATTGAGAGGCGTAACGATCCAAATGAGGGGCGGGGTTCTTAGTACCCTAAGAATCCTTGGGCTGTCCATGGCAGGGGTCGGACCCTCCATGGCAGGGGTCCGGGGCCTCAAAACCCTATCTATTTGAGGGCCCGGATTCTTAGGGTAAAGAATATATCAATAATAGAGTTTGCAGCAAGCGTTCTACTGTACTTGCACTTGTATTAAATCGGTGAAGCAAACCGATTGTGGGTCAACCCCCAAACAGGCACCATTTTTCAACACGCTTGCGCCACTTCTTCGACATGAATGGCCGAACGAAAAAACAGAAACTGGCCCACAGACTACAAACCTTCAGCTAAATGAGAGGCTCTTTTCCACCGGTTTGGCCCCCCGTGCCCGTTTCACGCCCACGCCCCGACGCCCCCGGGTCGACGAGGTCTGTGGCCCTGAGATTTTGCTGGAGGCGTTCGAGTTGGAGGAGCTGTTGGGGACGCCGAGACGGGGCGGCGGATCGCCAGCGCCGAACAAGACGGGGCGGAGAGGAAAGGGCGGAGAGAACTCTCGGGGCCGGGAGGAACTATCTCGTCATTGATGTCGATGGTACCCTATAATACTCTGTATATACAGGTCAAATGACGAGGTTTTGGGCACCAGCAAAGTAAAGAACATGCCTTTCCGGGTCACAGAAGCCCATCCTCAAAACAGTCTTGGACTCCCAGAGTGTGATTTTGCTCTTAAGGGAGATGCACCAAAGCACATCTCGGCATCGTTCCTGAATCTCTGACGGCCATGCGGCTGCCCAAATCGACCGGAGCGGGTGCAGCTGGTTGCGAAGGCCGGAAGGCCGAATGGCTTGGTCCTTCCGGGTCATACTGCGCCACGCGTTCGGTGTGGGAGAGCGCTGACCCGAGCGTGGGGCCGCTAAGCCACCGGATGGGTCACCAGCAGCATTTGTTGGAGTTCATGATGCTTCCAGATCAATTCCTGGAAACTTGCCGCCATTGATTGAAACCCGGAAAGTTGACAGTCTTTTCCCAACTGAAGAGAGGCTTTTGCCACCTGCTGCACAGCAATGATTGCAGAGAAAACAGATGAAAAGATATTCTGCATTGCAATCAAGTCATTGGTTGCATGACTTGGATGTCTTGGTGAATGGACCAAGTCCTCTACTCCCGTTTTTTTTTCTCCGGTCTGCCCACCATCTCAGGAGGTGGATGGTGTTCCAGAGGGCCAGCGGCATTGGAGGCCACAAGAAAGAGACTCCAAGGATGTTTTATGGTTCTTTCTCCTGAAAAGGCTTATAACTTGAAACACATGTGCAAGTGCTCTGATAGGAGTCAGAAACGGCGAAATTGAAGATCTTCGAGGGATCCACTAGTGGAGCTGAGAAGAACTCAGGTAAAGGGTTTGGGTTTGGAACACCGCGAGGCTAAGCTGCGAGGCAAAGATGCTCAGCTCCACTGATAAGAGTGGATGGCTTAAACCAACAAACCCAAACTCATGGGAACATTAATATGAAAAAACGGTCACGGTAACATTCTTCCAATGTGGGCGGGAAACATTGGTAAATTACCACCCTGATGTCATAAAACATACCAAAAGTCAACGTCATAAAACGATACCCCAAAACGATTCCCCAACGATACACGAGAGAGTGCAAAAGGGAAGTTCCTTAGACAGTGCCCCATGAGCAAGTCTGCAAAGGGGCAGGCAGGCTTGTGTCTTCTAGTAAAAGAGATCAGATCAGCAAACGAGCGGCAGAAGCCAGCAATGTTGAACTTGCTGGAGCAGCCCTCCGTTCTGTCCTTCCTCACTTCACAGAGCTCACACTTCCAGTGTTTGCAGGGGATGCTCTCAGATCATGAATGATGGCGCATAGGGGTTCCTGTGCTTTTGTTGTTTGTGCGCTCGTGTTTGTGTTTTGTTTGTTACGATCCGTGACGTTCATTGTTGGTGGCAAGACTCCACCATGCGAAACATGCAAAACGATACATACAGTGCTCATTCTACCAAACATTGTAAAACGATACGGGACGTCCTAACTTTGAATGAATACAGCTTAATATTAATAAGCAAGTAATTTAGAAAAGACTAATATGATTCCCATCGTGGTAGTTACAATGGTTCCAATGTGGGGGACAATCGAAAGGCACCTTCCGACCCCCAACCCTCTAAGCACCTTCCGATTCGTCTCGCATCGACCAGAACGGGCTTCTGGAGCGCTCGAAAAGCACCACGAAGCGCCGTGGTCGGGACGCCGTGGTCGGAGCTTTTTTGACGTGGGCTCGACCCCCTGAGGCCCTTGAGCTTCCATATCTCCGGGTTCCAACACCCCACCCAAATCTTCCAAATTGGCTTCGTGGGGTTTCTTTCTTCCGCATCCCTTTCTGAGGCTCTTCTTTGCCTCGGTCGCGAGTGCCTTGGACGAACAGACCGCCTATGGCGCCTACCAGGCTGAAGGGAAGGAGAGGGATTTGCTTATATGTAATGGGGCGCATGGGGGGCCCATGACTCAACCTAAATGACAATGGAAAAGCTATATAGGTACTGTTCGCACAATCCAAGGCGTCACCATTTTTTTGAGCAGCAATGAGTAGACTTGACTCTCGGTCGGTTTTAGTTCCAAGTTGGGGCTGGATTGTGGACCGCCCCGCTGGTTCACTGCTTCACCGGTCAGTCAGATCGTCCGAATCCCCAGTCACCCGCGTCGCTGTGACTCCCTCGTGACTGGGCGGCGACACCAAACGAAACAGTCCAGCGAGGCCGTGAGAGAGGCCGTGAGGGCTGCAGAAATGACCTTGTGCTAGAAGAAAAGGTCTGGCTGAGAATGTGCTGCGACCGTCAGGGGAGGGTGGACGTGTTCATGTTCATGTTTGCCGCACCTGCCCGTCTCGCCCATGATATGGTATGATTGGTATGACATGGTCAGAATCACAATCCGGCTCAGAAGTGGAACGGTCAGACGGAGACCCAATCTCAATGATTCTCTATTTCCCAAGGCTGCAGAATCAAATGGTTGATCCAAAGGTGACGAAGGACCCATCCAAAGGTTAGAAGGACATCCGCCAATCTCGATCCAAAGGCTGCAGATGGAGGGTTTCTCTACGTGTTTGTTGAAGATGCGTCGCAGCTTGACCGGAGACCGGAGACCCTTCTACGACCGGAGACCCGGATGTGGGTGCCCTGGCCATTCACTGAAAAATGAGATGCCCAACTTGTCACTTCAATGACCGACCCGTTTGGAGTGAAAGTGAAACATTGATGCCCAACTTCTAAAAGTTTTGGGAATTCCTCTCGAGTCATGACGTGGGAACTGGTGCAGATGCTGTCTCTTAGAGGGTAGAGCAGCGGGGGAAGTTGGTCTAGGTGGGTTTATCAATTGTATTGCAACTACTATATATATATATAACAACATAGACAAAATGCCATATGTATATTATAGATCTAATTATTTACTGTATCCAACTATCTATCTATCTATCCATCTATCTATCCATGCTTTTAAGGAAGTTGGTAAGTTGATTTGGAAAAGAACTTGATTAAACAGCCTGACTCACGGCCCATCATTCCCGTCAGCTTGCCGGCCGCCACTTCGCACGTGCGAGGTACAGACACGTCGATACCCTGTCCATCATCAATGTTCCGGAGATGGAAAATTTCATTGGATACTGGCGACCTGGCTGATGCTGTGGTACCAGCTGTTTCGGGCTGAAGGGCAAAAGAGACCGGAGATGCGGAATCGAGACTGGACTCTTTGGAAGGGCAACATGCTAAGCAGCAGTTGTTGCATGGTGTGGCACCTATACTTCTCTGAGTGCTCCGTGTCCTCCGCGTCCTCCTTGTTGATGTGTCCGACCGGTCCACCTGGTCTCGGTTCGCTCGGCCGGGCAAGGAATGGCGTTCTCCTGGAGAATGCCATGCAGAGGACCGGCTTCATGTATGGCTACTACTTGGAGGAGCGTGCTGTGCATCTGAGAAGGTTGCGGGATGGGTATGGACCGAGAAAGAATGCAGGCCTGGAGTGCAAAAAGTTTCTGATGCATTTTGAGACTGGATGTGTCGGATGTGTAGTACCAAGCAGCGACTCCAAATATGGAACTTGAAGCTCCAAGGCCTGCCCTGTCAAGAACTGTGGAGTCAATCTTCGCTGGTAAGATCTTGTAAGATATACAAATGGTCGGGGAATGAGGAGGGGCTGAAAAAAGGTTTGGACTTCCTATGTTAGCCGACTAGTTTTTGTATTTCAATAGGCATGAACAGGGAAGTGTCTTTCCTTGGTACGAATATTTCACGTGTTCTGCCCGCTGATAATGGCCAGATCTGTGGCCGTGAACTATCAAGACACATCAACGATCAACCATCATCAACTCAAGCTCCGCCTTCTCAGGTGACCCAGGAACCCTCCTGACAGGTCGCCACCGGTCGAGCTGTTTTCAAACGTCTCGAAAAAACTCACCCTGTCGAGTCGAGGCCTGCAGAATTGTCCCTGCAAAATAGCCTGTCCTGGCAGGACAAGAACTATGATGAGGGCACTCGAGCCATCATGGAGGCGGGATCGCCGAGAAGGACGCCTTTGGTGAGTTGGATTTCGCCCAAGCGGAAGGGAGATTCTGATGTGAATCAGTTTTGATCATTTTTGCACGCCCAGAATCAAACGCCCTGTTGCAGGGTCTGATTACCTGACTCGATTCGGGCAACAGATCATCAAGCTTCACAAAAGCAGCATGACTCAATGACGAGTGGACCAAACTGATGGATGGCAGATGTCCGCCCATTTCAAAGGACACACACGAGCGACGAGGTATCGGTCCTCACACCGGGCTCTTTTCCGGCCAAAGACCGCGGAGCATTTTCTACCGAAGGATAGGAAGGGGACCAAAAGCTACCGCCGATGATCGCAGCCCAGCGATCGGAGATCATCGGTCCCTGGCATTGCGATTGGTTCCCCTGCAGCCAGGTCAGCCATGACCAGCACCGGTGGTTGTCAGGGTTTCACCGTGCCATCGCTTCTCAACGGAGGGACCTTGACTGCGCCACCTGCTAGGGCATCTATGAGCCCTCCCAAGAGCCGACCGCTCAGCGAGGGGAGCGGGGCATGGATCAGGGGACAGCGACGGGCAGTTCCGACGGGCAGTCGTTTGGAACCCAATGGGTGAACAACATGAGGCTGCACTGTTGTCATTTAAAAATTCAATGGGAAAGTGATTTCGGCCACTGTCTCCAGGGTGCTCACGCTCCAGGTCATGGAGTTGTTCTCCGCCGAGCCCCAGACACACACAGCTCAACTGCCCACAAATGCATTCCTAGAAATTGAGGATTGACATTGCGGGTCTTCGGCCTGGTGGCTGGCAGAAAGTTTAGATCATTAAGTACTAGCGTACAGTATGAACATGTATGAACCACGCGGCAATTAAATGTACTTTAACTCATACTATTAGATATTGAATATATATATATATATGTTACATAGTATATTAGTGACATCATCATCATCATCATCATCATCATCATCATCATCATCATCATCA